GTCCCCTCTGATTCTTGGTTCATCCGTCTCTCTTGGTGTGTTTGATCTCAAGTGAATTTGCATGATTTACATCCTGATTTGCCTTTTAACCGGCAGCTAATAGAGAACCTCTTCTCACCAGTCTCTCCTGAAGCTCCAGATTACCAAAACCACTCAAGGACTCCTGAGTTCAGCTGGAGAGAAGCTCAGGCTTTCTGTCTTCAGGTTAATCTGATAGAATCACAGATTAAAGAACATAAAGCATCAGAAACTGTTAAGCTCCAAGTAACTGATCTACAGCTGACACCCTAGAGCTGCATTATGTCACGAACTCCTCCCGCTGACTTCATTTCCCAGCATTCTCGCCACCACTTCCCATCATTCCTGCCACCAACGTGGCTGCAGACGTCATCACGCCGACACTATATAAGGAAGTGCCGGCATTTCATTCATTACTCAGTCATTGTTTCTACCAGACTTTGTATTGTGTTCTCAGGCTTACCAGCCTTCAAACCTAACCCAAAGACTTATCCACGCTGATTACTATTAGTAAGCCAGCTACCTTATTTTCCGGAACTGCTACTAAGTCCCAGCTCTCTCTCCGAGCGCTGTCGTCGTTCCCAGAGTAAAGCTACGTGCTCTGTTCAACCCAACGCTAGCCACTCCGCGTCTGGGTCACACAGTAACGCCACATTCCATCTCCGCTACGCTTCAGCTCAGCCTTGAAACCTGACAGGATGACTGAGTCAAAAGTTGACCCAGCGGAGTTCGCTCATCTGCGCATCGAAGTGGTTCAACTACGCACAGCTGTGGATCAGCATACAGCGGAAATGAACCAGCTCCGTGCCATAGCTGATCGCCATCCACTAAGATCGAGTCTCTCACCGAGCTGGTTCTCCAGCTTTCTACTGCCCTGCAACAACGGACCTCAGCCGTCTCTGAGACGATGGAGCCGCGCCTCAGCCTTCCAGAGAAGTGGACGGAACCAGGGGATCCCCGGAGGGCATGCTGGCGACCCTGGCAATGACTTTTGAGTGCCAGCCAGCACGCTACCCCACTTCCTGCTCTCGTGTCGCCCTGCTGACTTCACTGCTGACAGGTCGAGCCGGTGAATGGGCGGCGGCTCTTTATAACCAGAAATCTCCTGCCTGCAATGACTATGAGACTTTTGTGAAGGAGATGAAAAAGACTTTTGTTCATCCCAGCGGCGAGATCTCGGACGAGACTCGGCTGCTTCAGCTTCGTCAGGGCTCCCAGATGGCAGCTCAGTACACCTCTTGTTTCAGGACGACAGCCGCTTGGTTGACGTGGGATGACGCCGCCCTAAAGGCCGTTTATCTGGAGGGATTGTCACCTAGGATCCGGGAGTGCATGATCGGACACGAGGCCCCAACCTCCCTGGACCTGGCAGTGGATCTGGCTCTCCAGCTGGACCGCTGCATCCTGAACAGGCCGAGCACCATGTCTGCTCCCATCCACACCAGAATGTCACCCCGTCGTCCGGCTCACCAACCGACGGAGGAGCCGATGCAGCTCGGACATCTCCCCCCTGAGGAACGGGCACGGCGCTATCAGGAGGGACGATGCGCGTACTGTGGGGATTTGGGTCACCACGTGGCACATGCCCAAAACGACCGGGAAACGGGCCCTCCGGATCGGAGTAGGGGTTGTCCCGCCCAGAGTCTCCACTTTTCCGGCTCCACACCGCACCACTCTCCCCGTCTCCCTCCACCTGGACCAAGGCCCGACCAGACTGGAGGCTCTTTTAGACACTGGGGTCTCGGAGTGTTTTATCGATCAAGGACTGGTTACTCAGCTCAAAATACCCCTCACTGTTCTCGACCGACCCATCCCTGTGACCTCCGTGGACGGCCGGCCAATCATGCCGTACCCTCTCACCCACCGAACCCAGGGTCTCCACATGACTATTGACCAACACCTGGAGACCCTCCACTTCCTGGTCATCCAGGCTCCGGCTACGCCACTCATCCTGGGTCATTCCTGGTTCTGCCTTCATGAGTCTCACATCTCCTGGTACACCAGCAAGGTCCTGGCCTGGGGCGTGGGTTGCCAGAACCACCATGGCTCCCCCACACCGCCAGAACCACCATGGCTCCCCCACACCGCAGACTGGAGTAACTCCACCCAAGGACGTAGACCTGACGCTCGTCCCTCCTCAATACCACGACCTCGCTCAGGTCTTTGCTAAAGAACCCACTACCAGGCTGCCTCCTCATCGACCCTATGACCTGGAGATCCGGCTCCAGCCCGGCACCACCCCACCTCGGGGTCGCCTGTTCTCCCTCTCTCCGGCGGAGACCCGGGCAATTGACAATTATATAACTGATGCCCTCCAGAAGGGATTCATCCATCCCTCAACATCCCTTGGGGCCGCGGGGTTTTTCTTTGTAAAGAAGAAGGAGGGGGATCTCCGGCCCTGTATTGACTATCGAGGGTAAAATAAAATAACGATCCGGGACCGTCACCCTCTTCCTCTCATGGGCACCGCCCTAGACGCCATCACCCAAGCCGCAGTATTCACTAAACTGGACCTGCGCAGTGCGTACAACCTGATCCGTATCAAGGAGGGTGAGGAGTGGAAGGCTGCGTTTATCACGCCCACCGGCCACTATGAATATTTAGTGATGCCTTTTGGCCTCTGCAACAGCCCCGCCGTCTTCCAGCGATTCATCACGGCTGTGCTAAGAGACATGTTGGACCGCTGGGTCTTTGTGTATCTAGATGATATCCTCATCTACTCCCGCACGGCTGAGGAGCACATCCGGCATGTTCGGGCTGTTCTGTCCCGCCTCCTAGATCATGGACTGTATTGTAAACTGGAGAAGTGTGCGTTTCACCAGGAATCCACCTCCTTCCTGGGTTTTACCATCTCCTCCGGGGGTCTGCAGATGGACCCTCAGAAGGTCCAGACAGTGGCTCAGTGGCCTCTACCCACGACCCTGAAGCAGCTTCAAAGCTTGCTGGGTTTTTTGAACTTTTACCGGAGGTTCATATGCAACTTCAGTTCCCTCGCAGTGCCACTGACCTCACTCACCAAAGCCACCAACCAGCCTCACCCTTTTCGCCTTACTCCAGAGGCTGTCCGGGCTTTCCATGATCTGGTCTGACGTTTTACTAAAGAACCCATCCTCCTCCACCCGGACCAGACCCGGCGCTTCGTCGTGGAGGTGGACGCCTCTGATGTGGGAGCAGGGGCCGTCCTCTTGCAACGGGGTCCAGACTCTAAGCTCCACCCATGCGCCTACTTCTCCCGGAACTTTTCCCCCCACACAGCAGAACTATGGGGTCGGCGACAGAGAACTGCTGGCTATAAAATGGGCTCTGGAGGAATGGCGGCAGTGGCTCTTGGGGACCACCGATCCCTTTCTGATCTGGACCGACCACCAGAATCTCATTCATCTACAGACTGCCCGCCAACTCAACCCTCGTCAAGCTCGGTGGGCCCTCTTTTTCGAGCCGTACAACTTTCATATTGCCTACCGGCCCGGCTCCAAGAACCTCAAGGTGGACGCTCTCTCTCGGCGTTTCGCACCAGAGTCAAGTCCCCTGGAGCCTCTGACCATTCTGCCGACTCAACTCTTCCTGGCCTCCCTCCAATGGCCATTGGAGCAGTCCATACGGGCCGCACTTCCAGGCGATCCGGCACCTCCAGAGACTCCACCGAACCACCTCTACGTTCCAGCCTCCTGCCGACAAGAGGCACTCACGTGGGGGCATTGTTCACGGCTCGCGGGACATCAAGGACAAGCCCGTACCCTCCAGTTCTTCCGTCAGGCTCTCTGGTGGCCGTCCATGAGGAGGGATGTCTGCGAGTTCACTGCTGCATGTGATTTGTGTGCACGGTCCAAGTCATCTAACCGACCCGGCGCTGGAGATTTACAACCTCTCCCTGTGCCCAAGCGGCCGTGGTCACACATCGGGCTGGATTTTGTCACGGGACTGCCAGTTGTCGACCACCTGGACACCATACTGACGTCACGGACCGTTTCTCCAAGGCCGTGCACTTGGTGGCCCTGGCCGGTCTCCCCACTGCCAAGAGGACGGCCAAACTACTCCTCGAACAGGTGGTGCGGCTCCATGGTTTCCCCCAGGACGTGGTTTCCGACCGGGGACCCCAGTTCGTCTCACGCTTCTGGAAAGTGTTCTGTCGCCTTGTCGGCGCTTCCACCAGCCTGTCCTCTGGGTACCATCCGCAGACTAACGGTCAGACAGAGAGGGCGAACCAGCAGCTTGGACGCTACTTGCGCTGCTTCGCTTCGTCCCAGCCGACCACCTGGCCCCGCTTCCTCCTGTGGGCGGAGCTGTCACACAACCTCCAGACCTCCTCTGCCACGAGTCTGTCTCCCTTCGAGACCTGTTATGGGTACCAGCCTCCTCTGTTCGACCATCAGGTGCCCGAGGTGGAGGTCCCTGCTGCCCAGACGCTGGTCCACCGCTGTCGGCTCGCCTGGATCCGGGCCCGTGCGGCCATCACCCGGACCAACACGGAGTATGCCCTTCAACATCGCCGCCGCCACCGGCCTGGCCCCGTCTTCCGGTCTGGTGACCAGGTTTGGCTCTTCTCCGCTAATCTGAGGATGTCGGCTGGCTCCCGGAAGCTCACTCCTCGCTTCCTGGGTCCGTTCCCTGTCCTCAGGGTCATCAACCCGATCACTTACCGTCTGCTCCTCCCGGCTGCTCTCCGGATCCACCTGGTCTTTCACGTCTCCCAGCTGAAGCCGGTGGTCTCCTCTCCTCTCCACCCTCCGACGACCCGGATGCCTCCGCCCCGCTGTGTGGAGGAGGATCGCATCTACACGGTCCGCAAAGGTTCTGGACGCTCGCCGCCGGGGACGTGGTTGGCAGTACCTGGGGGACTGTGAGGGGTACGGCCTGGAGGAGTGCTCTTGGGAGCCCACAAGCTCGTTTGTCGACCCTACCCTGCTTTCTGACTTCTGGGCCCGGCGTCCTGGGACTTCGGGAGCCGTCCCTCGAGGGGGGGGGGGGGGGGTCCTGTCACGAACTCCTCCCGCTGACTTCATTTCCCAGCATTCTCGCCACCACTTCCCATCATTCCTGCCACCAACGTGGCTGCAGACGTCATCACGCCAACACTATATAAGGAAGTGCCGGCATTTCATTCATTACTCAGTCATCGTTTCTACCAGACTTTGTATCGTGTTCTCAGGCTTACCAGCCTTCAAACCTAACCCAAAGACTTATCCACGCTGATTACTATTAGTAAGCCAGCTACCTTATCCTCCGGAACTGCTACTCAGTCTCGGCTCTCTCTCCGAGCGCTGTCGCCGTTCCCAGAGTAAAGCTGCGTGCTCTGTTCAACCCGACGCTAGCCACTCCGCATCTGGGTCACACAGTAATGCCACAATCCATCTCCGCTACGCTTCAGCTCAGCCTTGAAACCTGACACATTATGTATGGAAATGAACAGGATAGCGTGCACCAGAAACCACAGCCTGTTTAAAATGATATGTTTTATGAGTCCCAAATGTTTTCACGTGAATTTCATCCTACGACTGAAATTTTGAATGTGTGTATGAACAGTCAAAAGACTGATTTATGAAACGTGCGGTGGCCTCTTGTACGCACCTTCCTCCGCTCACTTAATTTTATACACACACACACACAGACACACACACTCGTATGACTATGAAAATGCACTTAAGGGCCAACATGGTAATTTAGTACCGTGACGGATATTTTGCTTTCCTTATATTTGACTGTAACAAGTGGTTGCATATCAGTGTGGTTGTTTTTTTCCTTTTGGTTCTTTTGTGTGCAGAAGCAAAGATTTTTATTTTAAAAGGGCATTATGGAAGTTTGACAGCCAAAACATTTATAGAAAAAATAAATTTCTTCTTCATGCATTCTCCTGCAATGCCCTGGTCCTTTAGATTGAGCCCTGGCATTTTTACTGTGATTGCCTGTTTATCTGTAAAATCACAGAAAAAGAGAGTTGCTCGGTCGAGCAGGCTGCTTCATGCGCGTTCACGCTCAGGCATAGTCCGTAGCATTTGCTATCCGTAGCTTTAGCAGCAGAGAGGCAGTGCCAACTCAGCAACTTTGTCGCCGTTCCTAATGCCTAGTGATGAACCTAGCTACATTTCTGAGGACCCTTAGCTACTTTCTGTAGAACTTTCTTCTAGATATTTCCTGCAAATTAGCAACAAAATAGCCATTTTCGCTCCTTACAGTTCTTTGAACGTTGTTTCAGCTGTCATCAAGGATATAAATGTTACAGATACATAGGACATCACTGGTGCTTTAGCTCACCTAGTAAGATGTTGTACTCCTGTGCAGAAGTCCTGGTTTCGATTCTCGATGTGAATGTAGTTTATTTGGAGGTTTTTTTTTTTTTTATTAATGGGATTTTTTTTACAGTAAGATGCCCAAATTTTTATTTGAGACTCGCCGATCGGAATTGAATTCACAGATAAAAAAGATGTGGGTTCAACTTTCATTTTGGAACAATTTTTCTAGCAAGGGAAGGGCATGATCTGAGCATGCAGGAGGACTGACCCATCTTAAACCTTTGTCAGCTGTGATGAAGAGAAAGAACCTGCTGCTGTTCTAAAGAGAAATCTGTTGAATGAACCTGAACTTTTGTCTCTGATCAGCTGAAGAAAAGCTCCAACATGCTCCTGCCCCTGTTCCACCTGTTTACTCTCACCTCTCTGACAGGTAACCCGGACTCTTTAATCAGTAAAGGTTTAGTTATATCTGACCAGTTGTGTGTAAAAATTAAACTTGTGCTGTCTGTTGATAGATTCAGTTATAAAACTGAATTGTTTTAAATAATATTACATCTGAGAAGTTTGAATCACATCTTATTTAATTTTTAACAAGGTCAGGCTTTTTAACAGTGTCTGTTTTTCTTCCATGTCTGACATGAAGAGGGACAGGTTCTCTGTTCAGGTGTAAACTGCTCCTCAGGGATGGACTGCATCAGTATAAACGGGGATCTTCAGTGCGCCGACCCCTGTGACCACTACTCTGTGCTGAACGATAGCTGGCGCTCAGTGGATAACACAAACAACAACCCAGTACACTGTGATCGGAATATAAATTGGGCCGGCTGGTATCGTTTCTTTCTGGGCCAAGCTGATGCTCGTATTCCAGAGAAGTGTATAGCCGAACTCAGATGTGGAACCAGTGCCCCTTTGTGGATCACAGCACCTCACCCCACACAGATGTACCAAATAGTAACTCGCTCTGTTTGTGGTGCCTGGAGTGGTTCCTGCTGCAATTATGTCTCACGCCCCATCCAGATCAAACTCTGCAATGGATTCTATGTCTACAAACTTGCAACTCCTACAGGGTGCTACACTGCATATTGTGCAGGTTTGTTTTCTATACCTTCAGTTAAATCCAACATTTTCAGTGTTCGTATTTTTGCTTTTTAAAATTCTGATTAAATAATTTTAGAAAGAGATCATTACAAATGTGATGCAGGCTTTGGAGGTTGTCTGATAGAGAGACACAGATTTTTTTTCTTCCCAGAACTATGTTTCCCAAACCCAGAAGGCTTCAGGGCATCAGGACAAACCCAGAACAGCATCACTCTGCAGTGGAATAAAATGGACAACATCAGCTTTGTGCTCCAGTTTAACGGTACAGAGACAAGCATCAGTGCACCAACTGGAGTCGGACCAGTAACCTACACAGTCTCATCTCTCGCTGCTGGAACCACGTACACGTTCACTCTCTATTCTGTGTCTGGCAGCATCAGAAGCTCTGGAGTTCGCATCACTGCAACTATTGGTGAGATCCTCCGTGACCTTTGACCTTCTGTGTGTTGGTCCTCAGCTAATTTACTGTAGAAACAGAAAATAAAATGTACTAAACCTGCTGCGCGGGCTGCCGGCTGGTTCTCCCCTCCCCGCAGCTCGGCGCATCTCTGTCTGATCGCGGCTTCTGTCTGCTGCGCGGGCTGACAGCTTGTGGAGCTCTGGGAAGGAAACCTTTCCACCCGGTTCTCCCCAGAAGCAGCTCTGCGCATCTCAGATCGCAGCGACGCTTGTCTGCTGTGCGGCTGCCGGCTTGTGGAGCTCTTGGGAGACCTCTGTGTTCCACCCGGTTTTACCCAGCGGTTAGCCCGGTGTATCTCTGACTCAGAAGCTCTGGTGTTGTGCACAGTTAACTCCGGTTGTACAGTGGTGCAAAAAAGTATTTAATCAGCCACCGATTGTGCAAGTTCTCCCACTTAAGATGATGACAGAGGTCAGTAATTTTCATCATAGGTACACTTCAACTGTGAGAGACAGAATGTGAAAAACAATCCATGAATTCACATGGCAGGTGTTTTAAAGAATTTATTTGTAAATCAGGGTGGAAAATAAGTATTTGGTCAATAATAAAAAGTCAACTCAATACTTTGTAACATAACCTTTGTTGGCAATAACAGAGGTCAAACAATTACTATAGGTCTTTACCAGGTTTGCACACACAGTAGCTGGTATTTTGGCCCATTCCTCCCCTGCAGATCTTCTCGAGAGCAATGATGTTTTGGGGCAACACGGACTTTCAACTCCCTCCACAAATTTTCTATGGGGTTGAGGTCTGGAGACTGGCTAGGCCACTCCAGGACTTTCAAATGCTTCTTATGAAGCCACTCCTTTGTTGCCCGGGCGATGTGTTTGGGATCATTGTCGTGTTGGAAGACCCAGCCACGTTTCATCTTCAAAGCTCTCACTGATGGAAGGAGGTTTTGGCTCAGAATCTCACGATACATGGCCCCATTCATTCTGTCCTTAACACGGATCAGTCGACCTGTCCCCTTAGCAGGAAAACAGCCCCAAAGCATGATGTTCCCACCCCCATGCTTCACAGTAGGTATAGTGATCTTGGGATGCAACTCAGTATTCTTCTTCTTCCAAACATGACGAGTTGAGTTTATACCAAAAAGTTCTACTTTGGTTTCATCTGACCACATGACATTCTCCCAATCCTCTGCTGTGTCATCCATGTGCTCTATGGCAAACTTCAGATGGGCCTGGACATGCACTGGTTTTCAGCAGCGGAACACGTCTGGCACTGCAGGATTTTATTCCCTGCTGTTGTAGTGTGTTACTGATGGTGACTTTTGTTACTGTGGCCCCAGCTCTCTGCAGGTCATTCACCCGGTCCCCCCGTGTGGTTCTGGGATTCTTGCTCACCGTTCTCATGATCATTTTGACCCCACGGGATGAGATCTTGCGTGGAGCCCCAGATCGAGGGAGATTATCAGTGGTCTTGCATATCTTCCATTTTCTGATAATTGCTCCCACAGTTGATTTTTTTCACACCAAGCTGCTTGCCTATTGTAGATGCACTCTTCCCAGTCTGGTGCAGGTCTACAATTCTTTTCCTGGTGTCCGAAAGCTCTTTGGTCTTGGCCATAGTGGAGTTTGGAGTCTGACTGTTTGAGGCTGTGGACAGGTGTCTTTTATACAGATAATGAGTTCAAACAGGTGCCATTAATACAGGTAACGAGTGGAGGACAGAAAAGCTTCTCAAAGAAGACGTTACAGGTCTGTGAGAGCCACAGATTTTCCTTGTTTGAAGTGACCAAATACTTATTTTCCACCCTGATTTACAAATAAATTCTTTAAAAATCCTGCCATGTGAATTCATGGATTTCTTTTCACATTCTGTCTCTCACAGTTGAAGTGTACCTATGATGTAAATTACTGACCTCTGTCATCATTTTAAGTGGGAGAACTTGCACAATCGGTGGCTGACTAAATACTTTTTTGCCCCACTGTAGCTAGGTTGCTACCTCCGTTAGCTTCGCTCCCACCTCCGCAGTAGCTTTGGGTTAGCTTCATATTAGCTTGTAGCTAGTTCGACCAGGTGTCGTCAGTCGATCCCAGCCTTACAGCCCCACCCTCAGCTCCTCCTCTCTTCCCTTTTGTGGAATTGTCTGGGCTTGACAGAACCTGTGACACTGTCAAAATGGCGGTGGTGGCCACCTCCCATTTGGCCTCAAAAACGTGTTATTGGAGCCTATGGAAATGAATTGTCCACATATATATGTCGATGGTTGATCCTCAGCTAATTTACTCTAGACGATAAACTTTATTGAAACGATTATATTAAACAGTCAAGAACAAATATGATTTTATTTTCTGTTTTCATGTCAACAAAAATTTCTTGATGAAATTTTCTTTGACCTTTGACCTACAGACATAAGTAAGTAAGGAATTAGTTTCAGCCATTGTTGAGATTCTTAATATTTTCTGAGTGAATGAAACCAAATTTTGTTGAATCTGATCCATGTTGACGTTTTTAGGCTACATTGTGATGCTGAAGGTCAAACTCAAGCTTGGTGACCACCTGTCAGTTTCACAGATGGAAGATGTTTTATCAAAGGTGAGGCTGAATTAGGATTGTTTTACTGATTATTTAATGATGTTTATTATTATTATTATTATTATTATTATTATTAACAACATTATTCTTAATTCCAGATCTTCAGACAACGAGGGCTTCCACCACAGTTTTCTCTGAAAGTTCGTTCTGTTAAACCAGGAACCCAGTGAAGGACAGTCGAGTCTGAAATCAGTTGTTTTGGTTTTTCTTTTCTTTCAGTGAAATATTAAGAAATGATAGTGTATGCCTCAGGAGCTAAAAGTAGATCATGTCCCAGTGCATTGTGGGATGTAGTCCTAGACAAGTAAGAGTGTATTTTGCATGAGTGCCTATGGGTCTGAGTCGCTCTGCTCATCTTAAGTCTTCAACCACATGAAACAGCTGGAAAGGGCAACAGGTCAAGCTAAAGACAGACAAAGCAAAGTGGTGGCAGATTATATGTGGAAGAGTAGATTATTACAGTGGGGAGTAGCAACAAATATGGGATGCGTGTATTTTTGTTCCATACCATGTTGCTGGTGGGAAAGGTCCCACATTTGAGAATGAAGAGCTGATGCTAGCAATGCTCCCAGATGTGGATTTCTCCAGGAGGCAGCGGTGAAAATGAAGGAGTCTCAGCTAAACAGCATCCAAACGTGGATGAAAAAGGCTTTTGACCAGCAGTGGGTGGTATGTAACAAGTAGTGACAACAATGCACCTATGAGTAAAAAATGTTTAGTTCGAGAAAATGCCACAGCACTGTGAACAATGAGTAACTGTTTTAAAATAAAAGTTAGAATTTTGTTTCTGTTGATTTGTTTTTATCAACGTCCAAGCACTCTGTCTGTGTTTTGTCTATCGCAAATATGTCTGGTTTGTTTAACCCTTGCACCATGACATCAACTGTATAATGTTGAAGGATTTTGTTTAATTTTGAAAGTCTTCTCCATACATTTTTTCCGTAAGAAAGAAAACAATCTTTTATATATGCTCTCTCTGTCATGTTGGGTGAAAGTTTCCTGACCCATGACATGCAGAATCATCACAAGAACCGGCAAGTAAGTAAAACGTTCTTTATTATTTAATGAGACGAACGGGAACAGACAACGTGCAGGCCGGCAGCAAGACTCCAGGAGAGGATTCTGAGGAGGGAGACTGAGTGAGTATATGGAGGGAAGGACGGAGGATAATCTTAGGAGTGGAGCTTACTGATTGCAGATAGTGGTGAGGGCCTCAAGAAGGGCTAGGTCAGGTCCGGGTGAGCAGGAAGGCTCCAGGAGGAGAAGGAACTGTGGAACCAGAGAGGAGGTAGGAGCGGAGGCTTAGTGAGGGCAGGTGAGCGGCTGAAAGCAGGCGGCCAGGGGAGGAGACAGCGTGATCTGGAGTGCAGGAATCCGAGCTGGTATGGAGATAGTGGAGTGTGGAGTGAAACCTGGAGCAGAGCAGGGAAGAGTAGTCAGGGTATTTTCTGGTCGACAGGAAATCCAGCAATAAATATACAAGATCTGGTACACAGACTGGAACTAGAGAAACAAGATCAAAATGGGTCAGAGGCTAGAGCTACCCAAAACTGAGCAATCATCCGGCGTGGTGAAGTGTCACACTGCTCCTTAAATCCCCTGGGCCTTGATGATGAGATCAGCTGCAGCTGGTGGCTCTCAGACACGCCCACCTGAAACAATGCTCAGAGAAAGCAGGTTATATGCAGGAGGCTCACCACGGACCGTGACAGTTACCCCCCCCCCCCCCCCCCCCCCCCCCCACGGACGCCACCTGGCGGCCGAGCAGAGGAGGAGAAGGAAGCCCGAGAGGCCTCGAAGTCTCTGATGAGATCCGAATCAGTGATGAAGGAACGAGGTTCCCAGGAACAATCCTCCGGACCATACCCCTCCCAGTCCACCAGGTACTGGAGGCCCCTGCCACGGGGACGGACATCGATGAGACGACGGACTGGATAAACCAGGCCACCGCCGACGAGCCGGGCAGATGGAGGAGGAGCGGGGGCAGGACGCAAGGGACTGGACAGAACAGGCTTTACCAGGGAGACTTGGAACACAGGGTGGACTCTCATGGGCGGAGGCAAGGCCAGATGGACAGTGGAGGGGCTTATGACATCTGTGATAGGATGAGGACCAATGAACCGAGGAGCCAACTTCTTGCTGGTGTCCCTGGTGGAGAGCCAGACCTTCTGCCTAGGGACATATACAGGAGTGGGTACTCTGCGGCGATCTGCCAGACGGCGGTTGCGGTCAGCTGTCCGTTGAAGGGCCGCCGTGGTCTGAGCCCAGGTGCGCCTGGCACGGCAAATGAACTGGGGGGCTGTGGTAGGAGGGTCCTGACTGGATGGGAATAGAGGGGGCTGGTAACCTAGAACGGTTCCAAATGGGGACAAACCTGTAGATGCCGAGGTGTGAGCGCTGTGTGCGTATTCCATCCAGGGCAGTTGGGAGCTCCATCCCGAAGGGTTGGAGGAACACACACATCGTAACATGGCTTCGAGCTCCTGATTCATCCTCTCACATTGCCCATTTGTCTGAGGATGGAATCCGGAGCTCAGGGTGACACGGGCCCCCAGGTGGTTGGCGAAGTCTCTCCAAATGCGGGACAGGAATTGAGGGCCATGGTCAGACAAGATCTCTGCTGGAATACCATGGAGACGGAAGACATGTTTGATTAGCAGACTGGCTGTTTCGGCAGATGATGGGAGACACTTGAGAGGAACCAGGTGACAGGACTTGGAGAAACGATCTACAATAGTGAGAATGACTGAAAAACCATTAGAGGAGGGCAAACCGGTAACAAAATCCAAAGCTATGTGGGACCGTGGGCGAGTGGGTACAGGAAGAGGATTGAGAAGACCAGCTGGAGGTTGATTACTGCATTTGTTTCGGGCACAGATTGAACAGGCACTGATGTACTCACGGACGTCCTTATACATGGAGGGCCACCAGAAGATTCTGTGGATTAAAGCTAACGTGCGGCCTACTCCAGGATGAATAGAGAACTTGGCAGTGTGGGCCCAATGTATCAGGTCACCACGAACACGGGTAGGGACATAAATCCTTTGTGGTGGACCGGTACCTGGATCAGGTTCAGTCTGCTGGGTCTCCTGCACCCTCTTTGTGATGTCCCAATCTACAGCGCCCACAATGCAGGATGGTGGCAAAATAGGAGCTGATTCGGGATCCTTGTCCTTGTACAGTCTGGACAGGGCATCGGGTTTAGTGTTTTTGGAACCGGGTCTGAAAGAGATGAGAAAGTGAAAACGGGAGAAAAACAGGGACCAGCGGGACTGTCGAGGATTTAATCTTTTAGCCTCCTTTAAATATGCCAAGTTTTTATGGTCGGTCCAGATGATGATAGGATGTTCCGCTCCCTCCAGCCAGTGTCGCCACTCCTCTAGAGCCAATTTTATGGCCAGCAATTCCCGATCCCCAACATCATAGTTCCACTCAGCTGGGGAGAGGCGGCGAGAGAAGACAGCGCATGGGTGGAGACGGTGATCTGAGGGGGAAACCTGTGACAGCACAGCACCAACGCCAGAGTCAGAAGCGTTAACCTCCAGGGTGAACTGGGCGGAAGTGTCGGGACGGGTCAGGATAGGTGCTTGTGTGAACTTGTTTTTTAGGGCTTGGAAGGACTCGTCAGCAGAGGAGGACCAAATAAAGGGTTTATTTATGGATGTGAGCTGATTGAGTGGGGCGGCAGTCTGGCTGTAGTCTTTAATGAAGCGGCGATAAAAGTTTGCAAAACCTAGGAAGCGTTGAAGCTGCTTGCGTGTGGTGGGAGTAGGCCAGGAGAGAACTGACTTGATTTTTTCCTGATCTGTCTTCAACCGCCCGCTCTCAAGGATGAAACCGAGGAACTTAACTGAAGAGACGTGAAACTCACATTTTTCTGCCTTCACATAGAGCCGGTTTTCCAGGAGGCGTTGAAGTACGCATCTAACATGTTGTCGGTGTTCTGCAGGGGATCTGGAAAAAATCAGAATGTCATTCAAATAGACGGTAACAAACTGGTTGAGGTAGTCGCCAAGAATGGAATTGACCAGGGATTGGAACACTGCGGGGACATTTGTGAGACCGAAAGGCATGACTAAGTATTCGTAATGACCCAGAGGACTTTTGAACGCGGTTTTCCATTCATCGCCTTCTCTGATACGGACGAGATGGTAAGTGTTGCGTAGGTCCAGTTTTGTGAAAATGGTGGCATCTTGGACTAGTTCAAATGTTGATGACAGTAACGGGAGTGGATATTTGTTTTTTATGGTAATTTGGTTGAACCCTCGGTAATCAATGCATGGTCTGAGTGAGCCATCTTTCTTAGAGACAAAAAAGAAGCCTGCATGATACCAGATGCAAGGGATTCGTTTATGTAGGTGGACATGCTGATCTGTTCGGGTTTGGAAAAGTTATACAACCTGCTGGATGGAAGTGTGGCGCCTGGCAGTAGATCGATGGCACAGTCATAAGGTCGGTGAGGAGGTAGAGAAGAGGCTCGGTCCTTACTGAACACAAGGGAGAGGTCATGGTACTCCTCCGGCACTCCTGACAGGTCGGGGAGAACTGGGGAATCGGCTGTTGGTTTGGAGGTTGGTGCTGAACAGATAGGTGAAGCAGAACGAAGGCAATTAGTTAAACAGTGGGAGCTCCAAACAGTAACTTGGGATGTTTTCCAGTTTATTTGTGGGTTATGAGTCATCAACCAATCATATCCAAGGACTATGGGGGAGTGAGGAGAAGGAAAAATGAAAAATGAGATACTTTCCTGGTGGTTGCCTGACACCAGTAAACTGACTGGCACGGTCTGGTGGGTTATGATAGTGAGAGTGTTGCTATCCAGGGATGATGCTCATAGAGGAGTCGGAAGGGGAATATTGGGGATGTCCAGATCTTGAACGACTGATTTGTCCAGCATATTATGTTCGCATCCAGAGTCCAGTAAAGCCTTCAACACACGATTTCTTTGGTTATACATCACAGTACAGGAAAGCATACATCGGGAATTAGGGCAACCATTACCACCCACCAGTAATCCCGGAACTACTGGTGGGCTTGCCCTTTAAACCGTAAGCCACAATTCGAGATTCTGTGCCCCGGCTGACCACAATAGAGGCAAAGGTTAGCGGAGAAACAACGTTGCTGCTCCTCTTGGCTTAACTGGGTTCTGCCAGTTTGCATAGGCTCGTCTCCAGAAGATGATGCAACTGGTGGCTGAGTAGTTCTGGTCTGAGTTAGTGACAAATATGGCATTCTAGAACCCTTAGAACGCTCCTTGAGGCGTTTTTCAATTCTTATGGCTAGAGCTATAAGGGCTTCTAGGTCAGGGGGTTCCTGGCATAATGCCAACTGATCCTCGAGATGGTCATTTAATCCCTGGGTGAATGCTCCCAGTAATGAACCACGATCGAGTGAGGAAGTTGCTGCCAGCGTGCGGAATTCTATGGCGAAATCGGCTACAGTTTGGTTTCCCTGACGGAGATTCCACACCCTTTTGGCTACCTCAGCTGGGGACTCAGAATGATCGAACGTTTGATTAATTTCAGTCAGGAATTGTGAGAGCGGACCACGCAGAAAACTGGAGTCATGGCTCCTGGCTTCAGCCCAATCTAAAGCCTTACCACGGAGTAACCCGATAATATAAGAAATCTTTACTGAATCTAATGTGAAAGCTTCAGGCGATCTTTCAAAAGCTAACTGGCAATCAAAAAGAAATCCGCGGCATTTGCCGAACTCACCGGAATAGATGTCTGAAGGGGGAGAGTTAGGTATCCGGAAGTT